AATTACTGAAGTACTACCGGTCTACTTTTATACTTGTAGTAGCTCTTCTACCACTTGAAATACTAGTACTACAGACAACGTAGTCCTGATACTACTGTAGTATCGTTTGTCGAATAACTATTCATACATAGAAGTATTAGCAGTGCTGCAGTTTTACTTACATCAAGATGTTGTACTTCAGTTGCATTTTTCAATGGAAGTGGATAAAGTCACACAATAATTGTCGGTAAGAAAAAAAATTCCTGACGGATAAAATCCCGACAATCAGTCAGCATCAAAAGTAGAAAAACACCCCCTCCCCCCCCTTTCACCCCTCCCAACTTATTCTGGGCCTTTCATTTCAAAAGAGGCGCGAAAAGCAGGACAAGCAGCATGGCGAGCGTCGCGTCGGCATCCGAGCCCGACGCCGAGACCACTGAAGCTAAATCCCCGGAGGTCCACGTCCCCACATCTGCCGCCGTTGTCGCCCGAGCCCCACGTATGGATGAGGAGACGTTCGGGAGTTGGGGTGCGTTTTTCGAGTATTTTGACGCATATCAGCACAAAACCCACCAGATATTCAAGAAGAGGACCTCTACAAGCGCCACGGCGAGGAACGCGGATCTCCGAGACCGTGGTAAGGACACCCCGCAGACCATTATATCAGACGCTTTCGACAAGTACTACCGAAAGTTGGTGTGCACGCATAGTCGGTCAAGGCCCAGCCGTTCGAAGGGCAAGAGGCATAACTACTTCGTGAAGTCTACCGGATGTCAAGCGCAGATGACGGTCGTCGTAATTTGGGATGCTGCTCAGGGTTTTCAAGTGAAGGTTACGCACCAGGAGACAGCGCACAACCACTCACTAAGCTCAGGATCTTATGGAAATCACCCCTCAAATCGAAGCGTTGCAGACGAAGACGTGATTGACTTCGTGGATGAGCTTCAAGCTGCCGGGGCGAAGAAAAAGTTGATTCTGCAGTTTCTGAGGAAGAAAACTGGTACACTACATGATTGTATCCTTGTTATTATGCTTGTTTTGGTTCTAATGCCTGGTTAATAGGCAAGCATGTTACCCTGCGTGATGTGCACAATATTGTGGAGAAGCTGAAAGAGGCGCGGCGTGGAGCTACAACCGTCGAGGCAAGACTGGAGTCTGGTTTGCGCGATTTCTGCTCTCGAAAGGGTAATACGGCGACCATTTATGTGGATGACGAGAAGCTAGCGCAGACGATCACTTTTCAAACCCACCAGATGCGAAGGTTCTTTGAGGTGTTCCCACAGGTGTTGATGGTGGACGCCACTCACAACACCAACGATGCTCGATACAAGCTCTTCAGTTTCATGATTCACGAAGTCTTCGGCCATGTAAGTACTCTCTTGGTAGCTGTGTCGATTGTGTGACTCTAATTGTACCTCTGTGCTGGTTTGGGTGACTCTACTGTGCCCGTGTGTCCCGCTACATTTGTGTGCCTCTATGTGACTTTACTGTGGTTGTGTGCCATTGCTACAATTGTGTACCTCTTTGTGACTGCTTGTGTACAGGGGCAATACGTGCAGCATGCACTCATGGAGAACGAAACTGCTGATTGTTTGGGGGATGCAGTGAAATCGTTCAAATCATCTAACTCAACCTGGGACCAAGTTCGAGTGATTATCGTTGACAAAGACTTTGGAGAAATTGCGCTTCTGCAGAAGGCTTTTCCTGCAGCAAGAATTCTGCTCTGTGTCTTTCATGTGGTGAAGTATCTTCGGGGAGAAATGGCAAAGAGGGAGTATAATATTGAAGATCGGGATAAGGTTGAGGACGCCGTTCACATGATGGTGGACGCCAAGACGGAGCTTGAGTACGAAACGAGTCGTAGATATCTGTACTACGTGGTTGACGGAAAGCAAATTACACTCGAAGAAGATATTCCAGAGGACTCAACACACCCATTTCTGAAGTACTTCCACGAGAATTGGCACAATTGCAGACACATGTGAAGTGGATTTGGTCGTGTAGACGTCCCTCATTTGGGAAACACGACAAACAACAGGTACTGAGGCGTTTTTGTGCTGTCTAAAGTTCTAATTGCTAACTGTTGACTTATATAACGACTTAGGTTGGAGGCGGCATGGGGCCACTTGAAGGACGTGCTGATGTCTACGATGGCGCTCGATGAGTGCGTGGATACTCTGCAGTTCTTGCAGTCTATTGCGGAGATGGAGTATGCGAAGAAAATGACAGACGTTGGACACATGCGTTACGCTGGAGCTGATGCTGAGTTGACGAAGCTATCAAAAGAGGTTAGCCAGCACGCCTACGAGCTGGTGGAAAAGCAGTATCGCGTTGCTAATGATCGCAAGACTACGTATACAACGCGCGAACTACAATCTTACATGATCGAGATGGTGTCAGCAGTTGACACGAGTCGAAAGTACCATCTTGATACTAGGGTGCGTAAATTGTTTTGTCCATAATGGCTGAATGGTATCAATACTTATTGAATGGTTATTCTGACTTGACAGACGTATCACTGTTCGTGTATTTTCATGAGGACAGAGCTGCTTCCCTGTCGTCATGCTATATACTGGCGTTTACTTTGTGGAAAAAGCCCCGTTCCAGTCAAGCACATCCACCCTCGTTGGAGTCTGTCATCCCCGCTGAACATTCCCGTTGAAGAAGATGAGGATGCAGAAGACGGAGAAGCAACGAGTGGATCATTTCGGGTGCGAGATTCCGCTTTGACAGCGGTACGCCACAAAGTGCTCAACGGGACTAACAAGTTCCGAACATCACACGCTGTAGCGACGCGAATTGCAGATATCATGAGCCGAAATGGAACTCCCGTGTTTATCCAGATGTTGGAAAGTCTTAAGCGCTTTGAGTCCATTGCAACGGATGGAGAGGCACCTTTCGTTTCTGTATGGCCAGATCGACTCTCTCAACTGAATCCTCTTTCGCAGATTTCTGAGATACATGATGGTGGAGCAGCAAATTCCGATGACACCAGTGAGCCTCCAACTGCAATCGCCGATGCCACTATCTACAACAACGAGGATGAGATACAGCGTGAGGGCCTTGAGGAACCTGAGGATGCTTCGGGTCGCGGTGGGCCTATGGTGGCTCAATCACGAAGTCACTCACGTGGTGTGTCACCTTGTTCAAGTCACACGGGTCACACGATAGAGGTGACGGATAGCAACAGTCACTCTGGAGGCGCCAGTCACTCCGACGAAGTGACGAGTATCGCGCAAGGTTTCCCTGATCAATCTGAGATGCGGGACGAGCGGAGTATTGTGGGGCTTTCACATTCGAGCTATGACGAGACAAAACAAGTAGCACCTCCAGCAAAGAGAGCGCTTTCAGATGGCGGACATCCCAGCTCCAGCTCAAGTGAGGAATGCTCATTCTTCCTCTCGAAAAGCACCAAAAGCCGCGGTCGGCCCAAGATACGAAAGAACCAGAAACAACAAGTGAAGAAGCAACGATTGGTGAACTCTCTGAAGGAAGCCAAACAGCTCGTGCAAGGGACGTTGACGCCGGTTATCACGCTAAGCAATGTGACCACAGTGTTGAAGTCGACATACAGTTACGAATCCGCATACGAGTTCCTCTCCAAATTATCGGTAAAGACGCTGGGCCCCAGGAAACAAGTAATAGCGAAGATGGTAGCCCCCAGTGAGGCCCTAAGCAGCGTCAAGTTCGTGTTCACCGAGCAATTCACGCATAAATGTAGAATTTTTTTGGAAACGTACAGAGAGGCACTACCAGACCCTAAGTCACCCGTAGGTGTTCGTCTCGCTAAGATCGGGGTCATCAGCGAGGACCAAGTGCAAGTAATGGTGGAGTACCATCACACGATGAAGTCTTTGGAGGCAGTGTATGATACAATTGAGTGGATGGAAGCTACGTCGCTAAACAGACTGGATATTCCAGAAGGTCTCAATGAGTATGTTGAACTAGAGAAGACCAAGGCTACCACAGCGCTGCAGCAGATTGTCTTGCCAATCTCACGCTTGACACCGTTCGGAATGGTCTCGAATGAATCCGTTCTGCTGCTAAGAGAAGACCTATGGCTGAACGACGACTGCATGATGCCCGTAATGACGACGATCCAAGAAGAGCATGCACACGTTGGTATAATTTCGCCAGGCGTTACCGGTACGGATGACCCTGAAACGCAGGAGAAGGTCATCAGTGGCTCCGATCCATTCCAAGAGCACAACACGCATGTGTTGCTGCCAATTCATATCAACAGAAACCACTGGTGCGATGCAGTCTTTGACTTCAAGTCCACACCAAACCGGATCACAGTATTTGACCCCCAACAGAAGCCAAAGCAACTTGAAACGTGTGAAGACATTGTCAAGAAAATCTTTCCAGAGATAGTAGCCAAAATGGATTGGAAACGAGAAGTGTGGCTGAAGCAGACAGATGGACACAATTGCGGACCTCTTGTTCTCCTGTTTTTTGAGAGCATTGTGCGTGACGTCGTTCTCCCGAAGTCGCCATCAAAGGCACTCCTTCGGTACTACAGGATGAGATATCTACTGAAGTCACTGCATGTTTAGGAGAGACGTTAGCACACTGCAAAAGTTGCGTAATTCATTCAGTTCATGCATCAACCGGGTTTCTTTACGATGTTCAACACTTTCTGGTACATGAAGCTATACACCATAATGTCTTTAGGGACTCACGTTGATTTCCTTACTTCCACATCGGACTCACGGACTCACTTGCGAAAAAATGCTAAGTCATGTGTACAATCTGGCAACACGCAGACTTCATCGTATTCCTTCGACATTCGCACGACATTTGACGATTGCGCAACCACGTTCCCACACTTGGATGGCCTCAATAATGTCTACAAACGATGAAATTTTGGAAATATATTCGGTATTTTATTCTCTTTGTGTGGCTTTGTGCCTTTGTCGTAGGTACACAACCGAATATGGTGACATTTATACGCACTTAAGTACGAAGTCACATAACCATTGTGTGACTCTAACATCGATCTTATAAAAAAGTGAATATCATTAAAGCGATGCCGCACGGATAGCCTTGCGACTACGGGCTTTAACTTGATCTTCACTGTCCGCAGTAGCTAAAGCGGTGGCGAAAGTTTGCTGCAATAGGATTAAGAAAATATCAAAATTTAGTACCCCGACTGCGATAAAGTAGTTCATGAAATTGACTTTGAAAATATCCTCCCCAAGTCTACTACATGGGTGGCAGCAGTTGTCGTACGGCTCTGCTGAACACGCAGGATAGCGCTACCCGCACCTCGGTGTTCGCCACCATCACGAGGTCGGTAAGAAGCGGATACAACCACGACATGTGGCGTTGTAGCTGTAGGATCAACACAAAAAAAATCAAGTCAGCAAGCATATCTCACCCCCATATCCCCTTGCAGTTTCTCACCTCCGTGCTGTCAAACTCCGCCAGCTCCCTCAGCGTGGCAACCAATAGCGGTGTGTAGCTCTCCACGCGCTGTTGTGCGTCGGCAGGCATCTTGTCTTGGTCGATATACTGCGGTGCCACACCCGTCCAGGCCAGATACTCCTCAAGCGTGTCTTGAACCAAACGTACCATATACTTGCGAGCCTCATCTTGCTCTCCAATCGGAGCCACTTGTGCGTTATTGACGCTCCGTACGAGCGCAGTGAACAGTACGTGGAGGTACTGCTGCTTGCCTAGCACTTCTTGTGGCAGTAAGCTGGGCAGTTCACTGGAAGATGGCACCGTCATTCCATAACGCCAACCAACACGCTGTAGATACCGACGCAAAGACACCGCATCGTTCACCTTGCGAGCGAACAGGAAACTCTCGCGAAGACACGACAGCAGTGAGCGAGCGTGGCCAACACTCAGTGACAGATTCTCCTTCCGACGACTGGCCAGGACGTTGCCTGCCACTCGCTGCAATGCCAGCAACACAGTCAAGTGCGTGCGTGAAGGCACCCGTTGTGCTTCGACCTCGTCCGTAGTGATCATCTTCGGCGGGAAGCTCGTAGTGAATGCAAATCCTAATGTCCCCACGACTCCTGGATACAAACTCAGCAGCGAAGGCTGTCGAGGCGACGTCAGGTTCGCAGCAACCGGACTAGCCATCGGTGAGCGTGGAGACTGCGATGCAGAGTCTCCTATTGGAGCATCGTCGTCGTCTTCAGGAGGCAAGGCGAAGAAGATCCACGTCGGCTCCGCGCGCTTCATGACGTTGCGTAGTTCGTCCGAGATGAGACCCCAGACGTCTTCGGGGAACTTGTGGCCGTGCGTGACGAGCACGACTTCGAGTGCCCGCGCTGAAGCGGCTGCGAGCTGCTCCTCTGCATCGCCAGCATCCATGCACTTGCCTAGTAAGAAAAGAACTTCCGGAAGGAACCCCACGATGTCGTAGAACAGGCCAAAGCATTCCAGTAGCCGCTCCAGACACAACGTCGCCGTGGTTTTACCGGCAGTGTACTGCGGCATACGGCTAGACGAAGCAGACAGCGGCAACGGGAGCTTGGGCCGTGCACACGCCCCTTTCTCCACGACCACTTCGAGATGACGCAGCTCGTCCAGCAACGGAATGAGCACACCCTTGAAGACCAGGCCCCAGAGACCAGACGTAAACTTGGTGCCATGTGTCTCCAATGCGCTGAAAAGAGCTTCAAGCGCTGCGAGACGCACGTCCAGCCGCCGGTCAGCAGCAAGCGTGGACAAGGCTGTCAGCACGGGCCACCACATGCGCGTGTGCGCCGCAGAGTCATTGTAAGCTGCCTCGCCAGTCTCCAGCTGCTCTTTGTCCTGCATCTCTACAGAGCTTGATCTCCTGCGCGGGGACAGTGGAGACGCCACCACCTTCCGCGGCGACAGCTCCGCCACCTCTTCTTCCAACGAACGCACGGACTCTTGCTTCTGGTAGCGTATCGAGGCACGCTTCGAGGGCGAGTGGACCCCATCCGAGCTCGCATCAGCAGTAGGATCCTCCTCTGTCAACACTTTGACCTTCTTGAAGCCGACACGGGCCGCCTGTTTGGCCGCAGCGGCAGCAGCCGCCGATGCGGGAGCTGACGCAGTCGACCCGGCCGTCTCGCGAGCAGTAAGAGGCTCAATCACCTCTCTCTCGTAGCCAGTTTTTCAACACACACACTGCGTAGCAGTCCGATACTGTCGACGCCAAGCTGAGTGAGGGCCAGTCGCTCCTCCATGTGCCGCTCGACCTCCTCACAGCCGCACACTGAGAACGCCAGCAAACACTCCACCGCGTCCACGAACACGTCCACGATGCAGTCAAAGTGACGCTCCAACACGCCATGCGCGACCTGGAATCCCAGCAGCACGACGCGGTCCTCACTCCCCGGCGCGTACGTCTCGGCAGCGATACGGAGCACGCCCCAGATGGTCTTCCAGCCCGAACGAATGTTGCCGACTCTGGCCAGCACCAAGTTCTCCACACAACGCAGCACCAGTTCGCGAGTCTCCAGAGACGTGGCGTTGGCCATGATCACTTCAAAAGGAGCCAAGAACAGACGCTGGAAGTTGAAATCGCGCAGCTCGGCGCGCTCCAGGAACTTCATACTGAGCTGACGAAGAGAATCGATCGCGTACATGCCCACCGTCAAGTCCTCATGACAGCCGATGGTCGTGAAGTGTCTGGACAAAGTCTGCCACGTCGCCGCCCACACCATTCGAGAGCGAGTGCGCATATTCATGTCGGCGACTTCCACGAGCTTCTGCAAGCTGAAAACGCGAGGTGGAGAACCTCCTGCCGCCCCGGACGGACCAACACCCGAGCACTCGGACAGCGACACGACCGTGAGCTGCACGACGAAATCCTGCAGCGCTTGGTCGCTCAACGACACGGAGCTCGAGAAGACGCGGTCACTTGCCAGTTGGTCGATCTCGCTCAGCACACGAGCGGCATTCTCGTCCTCGATCGCTGCACTCTGCGCTTCATCCAGTTCCGATCCGCTCCCACGACCGCCGATGTCACGATGCGACGGAGACGGGGACGACAGAGACGAGCCCAGTCCACTTCGCTTGCTGCCTGAGGCAGAGCCGAGCATACTGAACGATGGCGTGGAGTTCGCGCTGCTATTACGTGAGCTGGAGTGGCTCATACCGGGCGAAGGTTGGCGATTAAAGTACGACGAATCCCCCGAAACGGACCCTGCAGCCGAGCGCTCGTGTAAGCCCTGAGCGTGTGTCTGGATGCGTGCCAGCTGCGAAATCGCCTGCAGAACGTCATGCCACGAGTCTCCAAGATGGTTTCCCTCCTTCACACTGATCGAAATCAGAGCCTTGATAGCCTCCATGTTCTTCGACCGCATCAGCCGCGAGTTGGTCGTGTGGAGAGCTGTAAACTTGGCCAACACCGTCACGAAGGCGTCTCTCTCAGCTGGCATACTCAGTCTAGCAGAGAGGTGCACTGCATGACGGAAGGAATCCAGGCAGAGCTGGATGGCTTCGACGGACTCGGAGCTCTCGAAAGTCACTGAACACGCTGCTAACAGTGGAGCCCACAGGGTCTCGAACATTGGACGCACATGTGAACGTTCGTTGTACCCAGAGACCTCGTGAAACGTGGAAGCCAACGGATCGGGTGTCAATAGAGACGACGGTCCTTCACTTCGCTGCGACGGAGAAGCGCCAGAACCGGAGCCAGATGTAGCACTGGGCTTGTCGCCTCGAGGAGAGAGCGGGAAATGCTGCTGCGCTCTCGCTGACGCCGGGACTCGACGTTTAAACAGAGCTTCGGATTGCCGCACCATCGACTCGCGCTCTTTGATGTACGCGTCGCGACGCATGCGATCTGTCGCTGCATTCGAAGCCCCAAACAACGAGCTGGTCGCACTGGGTGCAGCTCCGCCTCGACGACTACGGAAGTCGTCGTCTTCCTTTAAAGAGATCGGAGTCGCCTTGATACGATCAAAGATAGCTCCCATGTAGTCTTCAGGGAGATCTTTACCATCGTTGATACCGCGATTATTACGTAGAAATCCCGATTTGTCCATCTTCTTTTCCTCGGCAATACTCGGGTTATGTAGATCTGTCTGCAACATAATGATCGAGAAGGCCAAGATGAACGCAGTGTCTGCACTCGGGAATAATCCAGGCGGACACGCGTTAAAGAATCGTTCGGCAAACTTCTCCATCATCCGATCGATCTTCTGTGATTCGCCGGGTAAACGGAAACCAGCAAGGAAATGGCGGATGGCTACATCGATCTCCAAGCCCGTAAAGTCCATCATGTCGACGTATTCGTGCAGCACTTTGACGCAAAAACCTCCTTGATAATGGACACCATTGCCAAGGTAATCGCCAACCATTGTCTTGTCCAATTTGTCGTTGTAGGAATGCAGGAACTGAGCCACGTCACGAGGCGAGCCTTCGCCCATATGTCCGTGAGCTACGAGGTACGCAATGCCAGCACTGGGTTTCACGTTGAACTTGAGAATCCCTGTCGCCATCTCCTCTTGACGTTTCTTCTTGCTTTCAAAGGCCTCAACAGCTGACATAGTCGACGACACGACGGGGACCAAATCTGGTGGCGCGACAGTGTCTTCTTCTCCGCCGATTTCGCTGTTGTGCGTCTCCTCTCCTTCGTGTTGAGACGACTGTCGCTCTGTCTCGACAAAGTTCGCAGCCTTCTTCAGTGATGCAGTCGTGGCGGTAAGACATTCCAGACCTTTAAGAGCCAGCGCGGCGTCCTGATGCTGCATCTTGATCCTCGCACTGCTGGATAAACTCGCGGCATATTGCTGGGCCGCCGCGTCTTGAGAGCGACCGCCCTTGGCAGCTTTGGCAAGAGCATGCACAATCTGCTTGAACAAGTCGTTGGTGTTCCAGTCGCAGTCGTAATTGATGAAGATTTCGCCCAGAGTCTGCGGGTCGTCACAGATCGCATGGAGCGCCTCTAGCACCAGCAGTTTATGCTCGAAGCTGGCGTTCTCTGACTGCAGTAAGCGCAGGAAGATACTCGTGATGAAAATGTCCAGCTCCGTCTTCAGATGGCGCTTAAAGTTCCGTAAAAGCACCAGGAAAACCTGCAAAGACAGCGACACGATCTGCGTGTAGTTACTCGTGCAGTTCTGAAGCAGCGACTGGCACAGATACTGTCGGATGGCGTGTACAAACCTCTCACCACGTCGGAAGGATGGACCTGCATTCTCCACGATCTCCTTCACTAGTTCCAGCGATAAAATCTTACTCTGGAACGCGAACGGGTCTTCCGGGTTGGCTCCGTTCCCTGCACTCCCAGCCGTGGAGCCGTTCCCAGAATCATCAGCTACCGACCGCATAGAAATCCGACAAAGCGAGCGGAACAATAGAAAAGCATCCTTGTGGAGCACAGACGGGAACGCTGGAGCGTTAACCGGCTGCGATAACGTCGCCACGGCCTTGATTTTCTTTGCCGTCGTTGACGAGACTGGCGCTTTCTCCGAATGAGCTGGGCGTGGAAGACGAAGCGCTACTGCAACCGACGGATACCAAGCAGATGTCGGCTGTGCACGCAGCGTCTTGAGCAGAATATCGTCGTCGCTGTCACTGTCACTGACGACGTGTTGCTCTTGTGCTTGTACTTCTTGAGCTTCACTCTCGTCTTCTTGCTGACTCTGCTGTTCTTGTTTATCCAGCGCTTGTAGCGTGGCTTTCGTCTCTTCTTCTACACGTCGATCAAAAGTCTCCATTCGCTGGAACACGATGCTGATAATCTGCTGTAACGTGGCCTTAGCCACTGTCCTATTGGTGACGCTCTTACTTACTAAATGCACGTGGTAGCACGCTCTCACAGCTCTCAAGAGCGCATGCTCATGCACTTCACACGTCGGCGTCGTCACTGCCGTCAGTAAAACGCGTAAGACCTGGATCTGCACTCCTTCATCCGGGTGGTCGTTGCAGTCGCACGCCACTTCGACAATGCAGTCAATAAGTCTGTAGCTGTCCTCGTTACTGTCCTCCTCTGCTCCAGCATCTCGGTGGCTGTTTGACGGTGTAGCAAGGCCAAAAGAGGGGGTAGCATTGGATCCGGACTGACCTGACCCGGCGCCGGACCCTGACCCCAGACCCAGACCGAAACCTGACCGGCGACCGGAAGTGGAGGACGCGGCCGCTGCCTTCTGAACGAGACGGCGTCGGATCCCGTCGGGGATTGTGCCTGCCTCTTTAAGAAACCCAAAGGCCAGGAACTTTTCCATGCAGTCCAGAGCTACGGCTACGAGTTTGGCGTGACGGGTTAGACAGGCTAGCAGGAAAGGCTCAAAGGGTACTTCCAGTGTACCCTCCTGACTCGCAGCTGTAACTTTAGCTTGCGCTGCATCCACCATGTCGCGTAACTCGCGGTGACTGCGGGTACACGCCTTGCGTAACTTGCCCAGAGACTTGAGCACCAGCGCCTCCATGGCGTTTCAGTTGAAGGTTAGAGATGGATGGGGCTGCGATCGAGAGCCAATATGATGGCGGAGAAGATGCACGGGCTTAAAGGTGGAGATGGAGACTTCGGGCACTGCTACACGAGGACGGAGCGCCACAATGCGGAAGAGCTTCTTGCACGCTTTATAGCTCCCCCTGGCGTAACGACGCGATCTTCGATCCGATTGGTCGGTTCATGGTGAAATGTGGCGCACATTATTGTACCCACATGTGGGTGCGTCAATGTACCGATTGAGTGGTACGGATGAAGTGAAATTCCAAACAGGAGGTTTGATCCCTTATGTACTCTATGAGTGGTACAGATGATGCAAACGGTGGGCAATTTACCAGATTCCCATCTTCAAAGGCTCTCCCTACGTTCACCAATATTTTGTGCATAGAGCAGACGAGAGTGAATCGGTATGCCTTAAAACGCTACCGGTTCTTGTGTGGTATTTAGAGAATTTTCTCTACTATTATGTAGCTACACAAGTGACTTGCAGCACACTCCTCAAACCCACTAAGTGTTAAGCCCAAGATGAATTTGAAGATCTTTCTCACTCATAGACTAAAGATGGTTTATTTATGCTAAGTATCGACGTTGGTCACTACGCTATCCAATACGTACGAGAAATGCTTGTACCTCTCATATGCTAGTTGTGACGGGGTCACACAGCACCTTGCGCTAGAGGAAGTTATCTTCCGAGAGTATACAAACTCTCAGTGAACGGCAGTTCACAGGTCCCTCTTTAATTAAAGAGAGCGAAGTGACCTAAATAAGGTAGATTGTAAACTGAGTATATTTATAGGTAGGTTAAGTTTGAGGTTAATACAAACTATCAGTTACCTATAGAAATGCAATGTCATTTAACCAATGGTTGGTTTTGAATGACCTTGGAACCTTGTACCAAATATCCCGGAGTATGACATGTCATACTCCTGAAGTGTGAAGTGTCACACTTCATGTAACCAGGGTACACTTAGTGCTACGTACCCCGTTGCAGCTAGTTGCTTCGGATCCAGTTTACCCTTGATCACTAATGCTTTGGGACGTTTGAAAACCGCACCATCGAACATGCGGCGGATACCGTCGAGAGCATCTCCAACAACCGCTATTGAAAGCTGTTGTGTCTTCACAACCTCGTTTAAAACTTCCAACGTAACATCACCCACAGTGGCGACCGTGTCCACATACGTCAAAGTGAACAAAAAAATCGAAGTCTCGCAGGGTTCAACAGTGTAATCCGCCTCCTTGCTAGCTGTATATTGACAATCTGATCGCATGCATGATGTGTTGCTATCTTTGCCAAGACTTGAAGTTCTTCGTCGTACTTGTGATTGTAACGGACGCCAACCCGTTTCGACTTGCTGCGATATTTATCCTCGGCAATCTGCTGTAGAAAAAGCAAATGGTCGATGCACCCATCCATGGGCATGTGGCGATGAAGAATGCCTTTCGCAGCCCCCCCCCCAACTTGCTTCCAATCGGTTGTTTGTGTTGTTGTCCAAGTGAGGGATGCATCCGCGCAGGAACGTACACCACAATGGCTTACAGCTTAACCAATTGGCCTCCAGATACTCCAAAAATTGTTGCTTACTCTTACAAGGAGCTTGAAGGGATCGCATATAGCGATCGAATTCTCGTTCATCACCAGTCCGCACCATCATCGTAATCAAGTTCTTGGCATGTATCTTTTCAAATGCCGTAAACGCGTAGACTTTTTTGCTGATTTCGCGTTTGAGATAGTCAATGACGTGGAAATGACAAAGAATCACTGTAGCCTCAGGTAGTTCTTCTGCTAGTACGCCAAGTTCAGTGAAATCCTTATCAATAATCACCACCTTGATATTGGCCCACACTGGATTGTTCTGTTTAAATGCCTTGAACGCACTCTTCATGTTAGGCTTTGTCTCTCCGTCAATCAAGGCATGCTGAACAAACGCCCCGCTGCCAAATTTATCTGCCACCATGAAACTAAACAACCGATACCTACATCAAATTCATTGTTAGTAATTGGTGAATATGAAACCAATTCCTACCTAATTGGTGACATCACCTAACGTGTTGGTAATTATGTCACCAATTTATTAACTGGTGCTCACATCGTACCTGTTAATGTTTGTGCCGTGTGTGGCATCTATACAAAGTGCTTCTGGGAATTTGCGAGCCATCCTTTTCATATGTGCTGTCTGGAAGGTTATACAGCTCGTCAATTCGGAACCTGGATCGCGATAGATATTGACAGCCGTTCCTGGACCTTCACTGAAATCTTGCAGCAACTGCGAAACACGGACATTGTCATCCGGCGAGGTGTATGTTTCGCGTCGCATCTGAGCAATCATGTTTTCGACGTCCTTTGGCTGGATCGGTTTTCCGGATGCTTCTTTTAAATATCGCAGAATCTTTTTGCGGTTGGACCCACCTATAAGACATCATGTTAGCAAATGACCAACTATATGTTGTACTACTGTTGATCTTACCTTGCCACATTGTTTTAACAACAATCTTGGTGTCAGGCGAGTCCACCTTGCGCGTCTCAGCGTACGTGAAATACTCTTCAGGACCAACGCTATGGTTGTGGACCGACGTGTGCTTTGAAACACATACCGTATACACTCCGCCTTCGTCTTGTTTCAGGAGCGCGTTCAGTCTCGCCTTACACCCAATCCCTCGAGCAGTGTGGTTTGTTCTGATGCCTTTTCCACGGGGTTAAACTGCCAACCGTGAGTGCAGATAAAGGTCTTCGAGTAGAACACCAATTTCTCGTCGTACAGGACAGGCTGTGTACCTGTCAAAGCACAACGTTTACTTCGCTCACGATTCCGATCACGTACAGAGTTACTCGTTCGCAACTTGTAAATCTGATGAGTGTCCTTCTGGTACCTACGCGTGAATACATTTATTAGATACATCACATCAAACGCACCCGCCAAATGTCATTGTACCGTTCAAAAGCCGCCTCAAGGTCAGGCCACGATGCAAATACACCGCTAAATGGAGGGAAAGTAAGTTGAATTGTTTTCTTCATTGTATGCTCCGTTTTATCTCGGCTTTCATCGCCTGAAGCTCTGGGAAGAGTGCCTCCATCTTGAAGATTAGCCTTTCCACTGGTGGGGCGCGATACTCGGCTTGCTGACATGACACTACGACGAGCGGCGCCGATAGGAAGTACCGGGGAAGAACTGGGAAGAGCTGGGGGGAGCGGGAGGCGGGAGCGAAAGACGGTCTAATGAACGGCGATAGAGACTCGCAAATTTTGAAAAACAAAATTAGAAATTTTTGATACCGGTATTCACCGGTACTCCAAATGTTTGTTTTACGAAAAAAAAAATATTGGTGAACCTAGACACTTCCATCTTCAAATTCATCGCAGGTATTAAGGTCATTCGCGCTACCTGCTATACCTGATTGCTCGGAAAGTGCTAGATACTGTGTCACAACGCCAATAATAAAAAAAAATTAGTCACAGGAGTAGACATCCGAAATACTCACGTGCCGTGGCGCATGAGCAGCGTTTTATTTCTTACGAAATGTGAGCAGTAAGAGACGTTTCCATACTATTTTTCGACCGAATGAATGCTAAAAATCACTCAAAGTAAACTATAAATGAAGTAAAGTAAAGCCGGCAGAGCTGTAGAAATTCATGTAGAGAATATAAGATTAAACTTTGGTTTAACCCAATAAAACCGTATCCTCAATCTTTAGTCTTATGTCACGGACGGAGTGTTCACATTTTCTGCAACTTCTAATTTATGTTGCTCGATTTTAATGTTGCGGGACGACGATGGCAAAGTTTTTAATAAACTGCGATTTTTTTTCTTACCAGCACCTATCACAGTCTCCGAGTTGGTTCCATGGGAGCAGTACGGTGTTTTTTTTTCCTCGAGGGTGTCTTTCTATTTTCCTTTGCAAGAGCCCCAAAACAGAACGACAGTGCGAGATCTAGTGCGGCAATGATAAATCGGCTGCGTCAACGCGTAATCCACCGAGTCAAAAGTGCCACTAAATAATCGACCGAGTCAACAGCGGCACTGCGTAAGGAGGTGAAGGACGTCGCCACCGGACACGCCCTTCAGTGATGAAGAAGTAAAATGGCATACCGGTATGCTTACGGGTTAGTAGAACTCACTTCGCAATCTACAGTACTTTGCAGCGCAAAACTTTGTCAGAGTTTACGATTCAAAGACGAACGTGACGAATCATTGCAAAACTATCTAAATAATACCGGTACTGAGTGCTTTATTTGGGAGTCCAGTGGAGAACGAGTGAAAAGCAACCTAAAGTATGGTGATGGCACCGCAAACGTGGATAAACTCACGATAATGCATCTTGGCACCATTAGACCCTGACCAGTACAGTGGCATGGCGACTCCCACACGAAGATGCTGTTCGGCACACTATAACTTGGTACCGCCACACGATGCATGAAAAGCACTCGTTTCGTGCATGAACGTGGCCCTCGCGCGCGTGGAAGGAGCTGAGTGCGCGCAGCAAAGGGCCTGGAGCGTGCGCTTCAACTTCGACTTTCGGCCAATCAGACCGAGCCCCCCCATTTCGTGAAGCAGAGCAAGCGAGCGATGCCCCGGACGTTGCCGTGGAGAGAGGTGGGCACCGAGCTCAGTGCCGACGATGCGGAAGCCATGCTGAGCAGGATGAAGAGGCACAGCACGGGGAAGAACAACGCAATGCCGTGTACGGCTTGTGGCGCCGGCTCGCACCACAGCATGCGGTACAAGTTGCTCATGTGCGAGTCGGCGACCTGTAGCGGCGTCACCTGCTCGTGGCGCGGCAAGGTCCTCGTTTGTTCCGACAGTGGTGAGTTCTACATCTACGAGCTAGGTGATCACCTTACCGCCTCCTCCTCTCCCAAGCGTGCTAGGCTGTCTGGAAGGCAGAAGGAGTTCTGCCGTGAGCTCGCCAATCAGCGGCTGCGACCGCTGCGCATCCAACACGCGATGGCCCGGAAGTTCCAGCTTTCTGCGGACGACCTCCCTCCCTTGGACAAGGTGCAGAACTTCTGCAATCACTACTCGAAGACGGAGCTCGAGAACCACGACCGGCTAGAGGACCTCACCCAGTGGATCCACAGCCGAGCGTACACCGGGAGAGAGGGCGACTACGACACGTTCACCTTTGCGTGGGATCTCGATGAGAGCAGGAGGCCAATAATCGGCGACGGTTCAGATGAGGAGCCCTTCCTTGTGGGGCTGACAACGAAGGCGTTGCTGCGAAGGCTCACCTTGCCCTCCGAGTATTACGTACTGCACATGGACGCCACCTTCAAGATCAACACCGCGGAGTATCCGGTGATCGTCATCGGCATTTCCGATCGTGCGTGCAGCTTCCATCTCGTGGCGTTGTTTGTGGTGTCCCAGAGGCTGCAACCAATTTACGAAAGCTGTCTGGCAGCGCTCAGCCGGCTCTACACCTGGATCACGCAGCAGATACCGATGCCGCGATACGTCATGGGCGACGCTGAACAAGCCCAGCGCAATGCAGTTTTCACAGTGTTCCAGAGCAACCCTGGCATGGAGTATGTTATGTGCTTCTTCCACGTCATGACCAACGTGGAGAAGCACATGAAGGGATTTCCCTCGCACGTGGCGGGTGCATTAGTGCGAGAACAGTATGACATGCATTTCGCCCGTGACCAGACCAGCTTTTCCTATCTGCGGGACCAGCTCTTGTGTGCCTGGAGGGACTACCCGGGGCTGGTGGACTTCTGCGACTACCTAGAGACGCAGTGGCTGCGTGGACCGTTCTCACTGTGGCAATGCTACTCAACACCGAGTGGCTTTGTTACAACGAACAATCCTGTTGAGCAATTCAACAAGGTGTTGAAGCGGGATTATACGTTGCGGCGGCGCCTAAAGATGAGCAAGCTGTTGAAGGAGCTGAGTGACTGCTGCATGCACGAATCGGCCAGGCAGTGACCATTCCGAACGGATCCCGAAGCTGCACCCACGCTGACTCGACGCGTGGTGGAGCTCGTTCGGGAGAAGCTGCTCTTAAGGAACTGCGACGCGGACAGCGTCGTGGGGGACGCCGGAGTCGTTCACGTCTTCGAGTATCCCGCGAAGCGCATCGTCGTGGAGGGGGTCAAGCGAACCACGGAGGAGGCGATTGCCTTCTCAGCTTAAATGGGCGTCAATTACGCCAGGATGGAAGTGCAGAACGAGCCACCGTATGGGTGGCCCGCTCAGTTGCGGAGGAAGTGGTGTCCATGTAATTACTCCTTCAAGTTTGGCACTTGTGTGCACCTTATTTTCGCGCTCCGGGCTACGGATCGCATGGATGGAGCAGGTCGGCGCATACTCGCGAGCAGACGCATTGGGCAGAAGCGTGGAGCAGCAGGAACCGACGCTGTCGGGGGTCGTCCGCGAGCAATCGGACCTGCACTGTCTGCAGACTGACCCAGCACTCGCGGATGGGGACGTAGGAGAGGATCTATAGTGGCACGGAGTCTGACTAGGGCCATTGCATATTGAACAAGCGAGTATATCCACAACAGAGCTTACAGTTTTCCTGCACTTGAACTACGTTGATTTTTGGCTCGGGTCCATCCAGCACTTGTTGCACGCGCACTTGAACCAGCGCTGGCTACCATAATGGACAGTCACTTGGGCGCCTGCAGACACATTTTTGACCATTTTCACTCGCACGCGGACTCTCGACCGCGTCTGTTGCTCGATAAAAGCTGTGTTGGGCTCGCAGGCGTGCGAGATGAACCTCGTGACGGAGCCGCAATTCAAGGCATCCACGTCGACGAAGTTTCTGTTGACGGACTTCGCGTTGTACAGCAGCGTGTAGCCGCTGTTCTCCATGACGGCTGCCCGTGGTTGCCCTTCCACCACTGCGGGGAACTCCATCAGCTCCCCGCAGTACTCGCCCAGGACGTCGCCGACTTCGAGATCCGTGGAGGTGTACACCCCGAGGCCTACCCGACCGGTGTCGAAGAGCTTCAACGTGTCCAGCGTCCGCGGTGCGTTGCTGCACCTCGCCCCGAGCTTGCAGTACTTCGGGGTGCAGGACGACGCGGACGCCACGTTGGAGCACGTATCCCAAAAACAATCGCCGAAACACTTGCATGCGTCGACTGCCCCGATGTCCGGGAACTTGACGCCGTTGCGCTTGCAGCTCGTAATGGGCTCGACGTCTGACAGCCGTGGCACCGTCTTGAGCAGCGTGCGAGACTGCTTCGCTGCTGGATCCTGGAACACATCTCGTCTAGCGTGCAGAGTCTCCAGCTGCTCTCTCACCTCAGGGCTGTTCTTCAAGGCCTCGAACTTGACGGCCTGTAACGGCTTCGCGTGGTAGATCTCCGAGCCGCTCTTGGTGATGGCGCACTTTGCCAGATAGCGGCGCTTTCTTGATCTCGGGACGTGCCATTGCGCTCGCGTTTTCTTCGCCTGGTGGCGGATCTTGGCCCGGGCGTGGCGGTTCGGAATCGCCCGCATATACACAGATGCCTCAACTTTGCTTGCTGGACTTGGCTCGGCAGATTTAGCACCGGAAAGCACTCCACTCTCATCACACGACGACACCAAGTCGATAATCTCCCTAATAGACGATCTTTCGTACGCTTGCTCGCTTCGTGCCTTCTTCTCCGACCGTGCTGGAGCTTTACCACCGCTCTCTGTCGCCGCCAACGGCCGGGTTGGAGTGCTGGGCAGCTCCACCTGGCTCAAACTCGGCGCTGGCTCGGGAGAGCTGCACGCGCTGCTCTGGGGTGTCTCCGGAACGATCTCCTCGCTTTATCACGTAGCGCCTCCCGAACGGACTCTACCGCAGCATTGATTGCCCCGGCAAGCGCTGAATTGAGCGCGCTGGCCCTCGATGGAGCTGCAAACGTCCCTGCGACGAGCTTGAACGTCCGTAGCTTCCTCCAGAGCGAAGCACTGGGATCTAGCTGCTTGTCAGACGCAGCAGTGACTCGCTTCATCATCATGTCGCCCGGGATTACGTCCCCGGTGTCCAAATCGACCGGGAAGGCCACGTCCGCGCCGTCGTCAATGCAAGTGACGACGGCGCGCCGAAAGACCTTGGGGTCTCCACAGACGAAGGCACGACAGTAGTACTCGATCGTGTCACCAGCACACAGAGTCTCTGGAGGCAGCTCAGAGGCGCTGAGGCCCGGCATGCTGCTCTGGTGTGTGCTGGGGCGCGTGCGGCTTTCCGGGTTGGCGGCGCTGCTGCTGCTCGTCGACAGCTTCCGCGAGATACTGACTGGAGTGTGCCACCCAAAAGTGGCCCAAACTTGGGTGTGGCCCACCCCAGTCAGTGGACCTTGCATGCTCATCCTCGGCGGGAGCACATCGCGCCGGATGCGCCACCCGGCTGTGCGCGCTGCCGCAGCAGGGCGTCCGAGAATGGCCTCTTCATGCATAGTGTGCTGGGTTTTACGGTGATTTTCAGGCGGGTACAGGTGAACTTAACGTTTACTCGTCCAGTGCATGTAGAGAGCTTGAACATAAGCTTTGGAGGCGGCAGCTAATAAATACTACGTACTTCGAAGTACTGTTTTATCTGTTTGCAAATTGTGCTTTCCTGGAGCTATTGGTAACACTCTGTTCCATCTCAAATCTAACACTTCTCCTTTGCTGACATATTTGTTAAACTAATGGTGTGATTTGGCTAAACGAGCCCACTACGGAAAGCCCTGCCTTAGCTCTATAAAGCAGTATTTTTTGGTAGATCATTGTCAAACAGCAGCGAAGTACAGAGCAAAAGAGCGTCATTTGTTTTGACGGGGTGGACGTCTGGTTTCGCAGTGGGTTGGAAAATTGCTGAGGTTTTCAGAAGAGATCGATTTTTTACGGTCTTACAAGATGTGAAAACAGTTCTTCAAAAACTGCTGTCTGTGCCGCGTTTTCCTGAAAAACGCTTTTGACCAATTACATCAATGTATTTACAATCTGACAAATTTTAGATCTCGCAAAAGGAGAAAATAAATAAAACAAGGTGTGTAGAAAAGAGTTCATCATATAATAAAAGATACTAATTTTGAGTTGGTGGCCCTTCATTTTTTTAAGTGTCTCCTGGCCCTTTTTGCCAAAGGGTCGCAAGGCAATGAGGTTGGAAGCACTCCGTTGCGAATGTGGTGCTTCGAAACTCGGGGGAGTTTGTATGTATTACACGCAATGACAGATTCTGGTATTTTTTGTGCTGTCAAAAAGCACTTATCTATAGTCCTACTAGAAAGATCACAGTAAGTTTTTTCAGCTTACGCAATTAAAGCGACTGTAGCAAGTTAAACAGACCCAATTCGAGTACCGGTACGTTCATATCGGGCGACTTATAATAGCTGGCTGGTATTATATTTGATAGCGATGTTGACAACATCAACATTTGTTGTGCCTGCCGTTAGAGCGATCAGACGGCAGCACATCATGCTTATCTGCACAGCTGACACGTATTATGTAGCTGCCAGCTACATAATACGTGTCAGCTACTAATAGCTGGTAGCCACAAATTAGAAAATAGCAAATCTCTATTCTTAGCCTAATAATAGCCAATGATATCATTTATTTTTGTGCGGCGATGGAACAGAGTACAGTAGTATCATACTTGTCGGCCAGCCCACCAATTTCCGCTCTCATTCTTCAATCCCCCCCCCCCAGAACAAGAATCTAACAAATGCGTCTTTCAACCATCATCCTGGCAGTGTCTGCAGTGACCCTAGTTGCAGGCGTCAATGCCCTGTGTGAGGCTGCAAATGTAGACCAGGCGATGGTAATGCCGCTCACGTACGCTAACTCTGTGAGTGAGGATCTGAACAACGCCGACGGGAAGCGGTACCTGCGGAGTTCCGAGAACGAAGAGAGGTTGGGCGGCGCTAACATGTTTAACATCAAGAAGCTTGAAGATGCGTTGAACGACACCACCTACGCGAAAACGCTGTTCCGTAGATGGAAGCGAAGCGGAGTCAACGAGGACACGATCACTACGAAGTTTAAGAATTTGCAGATATCTTTGGATGAGAACGCTCTCGAGTTGATCCAGAGTTATCGCATCTGGCTCAACGCGCACGCTACCAAAACGAATCCGAAGCTATTTGACAGAGCGAAGATTAAGAAGGCACTGGAGGACGGCACGTACGCGAACGTGTTGTACGGCAGATGGAAGCGTTATGGATTTGAATCGGACGACGTCTTCAAGAGGTTTCAGCGTATGGGGGTCAACAAGGACGATAACCTGTATCAGGTCTACAAGAATTACGTCACCTGGCTGAACGTTCACCACCCACTCAAGAAATCTACGCTAACTACGCCCGAAGCGTTCTTGTTCTACCCGTCTAGAATTCAAAGGGCCAAGTCGGATCCAGCATTTGCTGAAACGCTGTTCGCCAAATGGAAAAGTAGCGGGCTCGACGAGGGTCCTGTCTACAAGAAGTTATGGGATATGGGCCTAAAGAAGGACAATGCCATCTACAAGCTCTACACGGACTACGTTTTGTGGCTTGACAAGCATTTTCCGTTACCAGCGAAGGCTACTAATTAGTGCAGAAACGTCCGATTACGGACGCCACGTCGGTGTGTAGTATTTCAATTCAGTGGTCATTTCAATACTGCAAACGAAAACATTTTTTAACGTTCGAACATGACATGCACCTGTAGTCCAGGATTGCTAAAAACATAAACGTAACATACTTTCGGGACAGCATCTACGCCAAGAAACACTTAAAAAAAAATGTGTTTCATCTTTTAACGCCAATATTATGAATCCTAAGAAAAAGTAAAACGAGCCGCAGTTGGTTAATCGGACAAAAATTGCAAAAAAACAACTCGCTGCGCTCAATGGTATGCGGTGATGCAGTTTTTATTCTGAAGAAAGTTAGTAAATTCTACCTCGAAGTTCTTTCTAATTTGCAGGGATACAAACAGCTTTATGTTTCGCTTAGCGTTGACTACCAAGCGTAAAAATCTTTGTTAGTAGCTTTTGTTCAAAAAATGCAATTATTTTTATGCAAAAAAATCAAGTGGCTTAAGCAGCTTTGCATTGCAACCGATATCAGAGCTCCTCGTTAAACACTTTTTAAAAGTGTCTCTTGGCGCTGATGCTGTCCCGTAATTACCGAGATGATATCACTTTGATGTATAGGGAGCTTCGCAAAGGGAGCTTCTCCCAGCATATTTTTGCCTTTTCATCAGATTTGTGCTCAAGAAAACATGTTATTTTAGTTTGTGTTGGAAATTTTATGTCACTTTTGAGCTTTTTACGGCATGTAGTACAGATCTCTCTGTGTAACCGGTGTGAGATCTCAAATACGGTTAAGGAGCATGAAATGTATTGCCAGTCAGTACTGGACGGCATTTTACTCCACGAATTTGTGTTTATTATCGGTTACAAAATAAACACCCTGATCATGAATTTACGGAAAATTAAACGTCTCAATACAAAACTCAGTACTTTTGTACTACGTATTATGAAAGCGCACTGCTCGTCGGAATTTCCAGCGGAATGGGACGATTTCAGCCGATACATGCTGGAGTGGATAGGCATGGATATGCTCCAGCGGAATCTTAACCAAATCCCAGCGAGTTTCATCCGAACAGACGGCGGATTTCTGAATGTGTTTTTCTTTTTGATTTCACAAAACCCTCATTAAATCAATAGTCAAGCTCATACCACTGCGCGAGATGATATTCGAGAACAGGGGTTGAAAAATAAAAAACGCTATTATATTTTTGTTTTCAACCAATTTACATTGCAAAACAGGACTAATCAATAATATGATATTTTGACCAATTATTGCAATAAATACATCAGCGGCTGATGTAAGGCCCGTTCTCAACCGGGGTGGACGCATGTGTTCTCGGACACTTTGGGATCTGCTTGGCTAGATGGGTATAACAAAAAATGTGCCCGTATTAGAATCCACACGCATGCGTTTGCCGTGCGTTTTCCGATTTGGACCAATAACATGTTGCTTTTATTTCTTACGTTTTACCGTTAAGCTTGACATTCAGATGCCACTTGTCCCGCTCCCATCGACATGACGCGTATCTCATTTCGTCCCCACCGTATTACGCAGCAGCAGTACGTCCCTACAGCTCGACAACGGCGTCGGTGGAAAGACGACGACATCTTGTGCGGTATTCTCGTCTATATGGCTGTCTTCAAGCGCCATCGATCACATAGGAAGGTAGATCCTGTTGTTCGTGAACGCATTTCATGGCGAGTCCATGCCACCGCGCTTTTGAAAGAGTCTGCGTTCAAGAAGTACTACAGGATGAGCTTTAATACTTTCGAGGAATTACTACGTGTTGTGGGACCCTATTTGGTAGTCGACTATTACCAGTCGCTACGCCGTTCTCGCGGTGTCCCTCCACTCACGCCAGCTGCAATGCTACAATGCGCGCTCTCATGGCTAGCAGGGGGGAGCCATCACCACATCCGTGTCATAACCGGATGTAGTACTGCTACATTCTACCGTGTTGTGTATCGTGTGATGTACGCTATCAACGATACTGACGCTCTAGCGCCTCAATTTCCAAAACCGCTGGATGATATGAAGCGAGTTGCGTGCGAATTTCAGTCTCTCAGCAATCGAGGTGTTATTGATGATTGCATTGGTGCGATTGACGGGTACCTTTGCCCAATACGCGTTCCTCGTCAAGATAAGTGCGGTCGCGTACTATCGTTTTTCTCCGGACACTATCAGAAATATGGACTGAATATCCAAGCTTGTGCAGACTCTCTTTCTCGATTTACTGCGTTTTCGATCAACTCACCTGGTGGAATGAATGATTCGTACGCTTTCCAGTGTTGGCAATATTCTACAAGAAGTCTCAGGCAACTACTTCGTCATCGGCGATAATGCTTATGTCCAAATTAAGCGTGTAATGACTCCTTTTAATAAGACGCTGTTGGTAGACAGACGAGACCGTGACAACTACAACTTTCATATAAGCCAGCTACGAATTCGTATTGAAATGGCTTTTGGACTTCTCGTGAACAAGTGGAGAATTCTAAAGCAGCCACTTCATGTTCGCCTTCGTCAATGTCGCGTTATTATATCATCATGTATGAGGCTACACAATTTCTGCATTACCCAGCGTTGTGCATCGTCAGCCAAACCACCTGATCAGGTCTTGGGGCAATAGCTCGGGAAGTAAGGTCGTGAAATGATCAGGAGCCACTCACATACGATTCGTCGGAAGTTGAGCTAGAAAATGGCAGCCACGTCGATTTGCTGGACGAAAGGGTTCGATCGAATTAGTCAATCGCATTTCAAGACATAATTTGCATCGTCCCCAGCAAATTTTACTGAGAAGTAAAGGCCGTATTAATGCAGTAATGACCACTGCCCAGCAAGTACCGACGGAAGCAGAAATGATCAGTGTGTCATCAGCACCAGGGCCCTCTCGACCTGATCAAGACAACACAAATGATGATGCACGTGGCACAGCTAGTATCTTGCAGTGGCAAGTGGTGTAACAAGATTAGTTTATCAGCGGGTTATTAAGCCGTCGTCAAGCCTTTTCTTTTTTTAGTCTGACGTCTTTCCACACGAGAAAGCGGCAGCGGTTGCTGCTAACAAAGTAAAATACAAGCCACGTCCAGCGCCTGAGTGTAACCTAGGGAGTCTTTCTCCAGTCGCAGTGAACGCCAACTACCGACGGTTCAGCCGTGGGAGGCGCTTCACTACCATTTTAGGTCTGTTCGCGCTCGCTGCCAAGATTTTTTTTTGATTTTTTTTGCCTCCAAGCACCACTTAACCGGCACCATCACTTCGTCCCGCTTCAACAAGCTTCAATCTACAAATCAATTGTCGGCATGTCCTTAGTGACCTTCTCGAAGAGCGCGGTACCGGCCGCCTGTGCTGTGTTCCGTGAACGCAGACACAGACACAGACAACTCCTCCCGTGGCACGTTGGCGCTGACCGATAGCACTACGTACGCCTATTTCTCGTTCAGCCTAGACAAGAGAATCTCGGCCGACGTAGTGTTCGGCGCGGGTATGGTGGGGCTCTGTCCGATCCGTCGTAGCGCGGCCAGATCCTTGTGCTGACGTATTCCCTTATTGGCAGTTACGGCGTACCCGACATCGACGTCAAGGGTGCGTTCAACCTGCCCAAGTCCTTCGAGTCGGGAACAGTACAGAACTCGGGTTTCAGTGTGTCCAAGTACTCGCATGATCACGAAGCGTGTCTGCCGTGCTGGGCAAGGTCGTATTCGAGGGCCAAACCACTGAGTTCGTGGAGCCCAACAAGGCGAACCTCGTGGCCGAAGTGACCGTCGAGGAAGTGACCGTGTACAACAGGGGCGCGTCTCCCAAGTTCGTATCCTTCCGCTGCGGAATGAAGCACAACATCGTGCGGTACTTGTCCTACATGGAAGTGAAGCTCACGGTCGTGCCCTACGACTACGACCTGCCCGATAGCGAGCTGCAGTACGAAGGTTTCTCCATCAATAACGATCTGCTTACCCGACTGTAAGACCATCGACAGCATCCGTTGGGCCTTCAACCAAGAGAGCATCTAGCCTATATTCGGTATCTATCTGGGTAACCAGAACCGAGCTCTGGTCGCCGGTGTCACCACGGACAAGTTGAAGTACGGCTATTGCGGTATGAATTAGTCCTGCATCGACATTCGCTCTACACGCTGCCGCGTCACGCCGCAGAGCCACGAATACTCTTAAACTCGAGCACTCTGTCTGAGGCTAGAAGACCCTCTCAATTAGCGCCAACGACAAGTCGAACAAGGGTATTATCCACGAACACAAGTCTTTCTTCTCGGCGCAGTTCCACCTGGAGGCATGTGGTGTCCCCACGAACACTTGCTTCCTCTCCGGCCTGCTCTTGGAAAATGTCAACAGCGCTCCACCTATGTGCACATTCATGAGCACGACCGCCCAGCGTTTCGTTCTGGTGGTCTGTCGATCGGTCAGGCTGGCGAGCTCGACTACTCTAGCCAGACCATCGCTGCTGTACGTGAGGAAGGCGTTCACGTCATACATCGCCACGGTGCAGCCATCTCAGGTTCTGGTCGACAACATCCACTTCATGCCGGCGCGTGCCGAGGCAATGCTGGAGAGCGTTACGAAGGAGTAGCTGGTTGGAGTCCTGATGAGTGTGGGTGACCAGACGGCCCTGTCCGTCGGTATCGAGCTGTACCTGAACGGCGACCTGGAACGGCACAACGTCCGCGTCATGGGCACGTTGTTCGAGATGGCTGAGTTGCTGTCCCCGATAAACTACCTGCACATGACGTACGGCGACTTGGAGGACGACATCCCGACGAGAGAGAAGGCCATCGTGGTGCTCGACAGTGGCACACACCGCAACGTTTCGTTTGTGAAAATAGATTGGTGTGTCGTGAGTGCTGTGCGTACGTGGGCAAACCGGCGATCGTGGTCAACTGCTTGAGCTGGAGAGAGCGGCCTGGTGAAGAACTCGCCGCACTAACCAGGAAAAGACAGTGATGCAGGTTTTAACGATGAAACTAGGAGTAACGAGGATGTTGAGCTAGACAACTCGGATCAGAAGGAAGCGA